ACTCACCAACCCAATTATACTATGTATGAAAATACAATAAGCTCAATGTGGGTGTGTGTAACAATAAGATTTATCAAATCTAAACTCAATATAAAAACTAGCTTTAAAGAAAGATAATCAAACAAATATGCAAATGTAAAGCTAGAAATAGAGTTTAGAAAACTTCTCAATTGATCAAGAGGTAGAGGTAGGAGAGTTGAATGCTCAAACACCAATAGATGATTTTCTCAAGCTCTTGTAAACTTGTTTTCACAAAACAAACTCTCAATTACTTAAAAGCTTTTTAAACAAACTTAAACAATACTTAAACCCTTGTTAAAACTTTATTAAAACATTTCTTGGGTTATCACGAAAGATGACAGCAATGGGGTATTTATACCCTATCAAAACATCAGTAAAAACCCTAAATAAAAGACCAAAAAGCCCTCAGAAAATCTCAGCTGGAACTAGTCGTTAGAGTCTGAAAGACAGTTCAGTGATCAACCGTACTATAGCACGGTTGACCATACTATTCACGGACAGTTTCTGATTTTGACAGATTCTGGAAATTTGCATATCTAACTTTGTAAAATCAATTAAAATAGTAAATCAACTCTAAAAATCATGAAATTTTGAAGAAAGGTTCTAGACATGTAGATAAGCATGTTAGAGAAAGAATTTCTAAAATATCTTTTCCCAGTTGAGAGAAATACCTATTTGAACACAAATATACAGTTTCTGAAAAAACTACTGAAAACTTGATTTTGTAAATTCAATTAAAAATAACAAAACAACTTCAAAATTAGTAAAACTTGGGAAAATATTTGTATATATATGAAGATAAACATGTAAATGAAGAAAATTTTCAAATTGCATTTCCTAATTGTAAAAACGTATCTGCTTTGCAAAAACATGCACGAACATAAGCTTATTAAAAACTTAATTTTGTAAATTCAAATAATCATAACAAATTAATTCCAAAATTGATAAAACTTTGAGAAACATTTATAAACATGAAATTAAACATGTTAGAAAAAAAAATTTCTAAAATTGAATTTCCCATTTGTGAAAACTCATGTATTTTGTAAGTGTGTCCAAAACATGAAAATGTGATATACATGAAATTTGATGTTTTGACATAAACAATATTTTAAAACCCTATGAAATGATTTTATAGACTTAATAAAATATCTATATAATAATTGTTAAATCCATAAACCAAAAATTGTGTATATATATAACTATATATATATATAAACCAAATATGTGTGTGTGTATATGATTGAGCTTAAAGTACTAACACACATAATATAAAACCTAAACTAAATATACTCAAGCTTAATTGATTTTTGATGTAGCTCAACTTGGTACACTTGCGGATGTAGCTAGAACTTGGATCTTCAATTTGAATTGCATAGGCTTCGCTCCACAATTCCGCCAACCTCCATTAGATATGATCGTGAATGCGCAATTCTATCCATCCTCTAACTTGTTGTTTGTCTATAATAAATAAATAAACAAAAATACTAGACAAACAACATTAGTGATAAATTATTTGTTAAGCATCATCAAAACAAAGAGACCAACAATCTTCCCCTTTTTGATGATGACAAACAATTTACAAAAATGATATATGCATGAAAGGAAATAAATATACAATATTATAATTATCATGCATATAAATAAGAAATGCTATACTCATAATATTTCTCCCCCTTTGACAATATTAAAAAGGGGAAAGCCATAAAGAATGAAGAGAGCGAAAGCCCCCCCTACATATGAGCATGGGTGAGTATAAAACAAATATAGTGAATAACTCCCCTATCAAAATGCCATATAGAATATATGCAATAAAGATCATGACAAACAAGTGAGCAAGCATAAATGCTAAACACAGCTCACATACAAAAGATAATGAGAACACATATAAATATATCAATATGAAAAATAGTGTCTCATATCAAAGAACATAAAAACCATGTATAAAAGTAAATTTATGAACTCAAAAGAAAAGGAACATGGGAATCATACAAAATGTTTTCAAATGAAAACAAATCAACCAAATGAAATCATAAATCAAATTTTAAGCCTAAAAATAATGTTTGATCAATAAATCAAGTTTTCCTTGTAGAACTTGATCAAACCACTCATAGAATGCATTATAAAGCATATTTGAATTTTGAATCATCTATTTGTGCTTATATAATGAATTCAAAGCAACAAATCAAAATAAAATTTTTGACAAAAGAAATGCAAGAAAGGCAACAATATATCAAGCTCTTAAGCTTGTTCCAACCTATATAAAGATTATTAGTACCCGGTAAATAAGATTTGGGAGTAAACACCCAATAAGCCGGGGCACTTAATGATGGACTATAGGAGAGCTAATTGGTTGTGCCTAGCATGCGAGGCGGCGAATCATCAGCTTACTATTTGCACTAGTAGAGGAGTTTCAGAAGGAGCTTCGGGTGGAAGGATGGTATCGGTAGGCCAGGCTAAGTAGAGTGGACAATAGAGAAGGCCACCACTTCCTACTCAGCAACATATGTTCTGAGGACAGGGCAACAATTTCGAGGCTAGAGACGGTGGAGAGGTCCCTAGTTTCAACACCCATACTAGCCGTAGTATTAGCAGAGGCGCCTAAGGCAATATGGCCAGTAAGATCTGTAACAGTAGAGATGGGGTTAGGTTCTTACACTTATCGCTGAGCAAGTAGATGCATTCGGTGATGTGGTCACAAGTACTATTTTGGTTTATTCAAGTGCCAAATGGCTTTTAAAGGAAGCCGATGTGGCAAGATCCTGTTTAGTTTATATAGAAGGGATGAAAGTGACTCATTACAGTTATCAAGGGACATCACTGTATCTTTATAATGGCAAAGCTCTTGGCAACACCTTGAGAAATCTATAATTATTATGATTAGATGAGACGTGACTAACTTATACCCAACACAAATCTTATTTACTCCCAATCAGGATTCCATCTTAGCTTGCGAGTAGGGAGCCACTATTATGTATACAACCGAGATTTAATATTTGGGTTAACCAAACAACATCACGACAACAAGTTGACTCGATAAACCAAGCATGCACTTTACCTCTAAAATGTGGGACATTCGCACTCAACATGCAACTCAGTCATAGCCCATAGACCTAACCTAAAAGCATATATAGAGCGGTAGAGGTCCATAATTCTAAACTCATCAGTTCGGTTGCTATGTTTATACACCACCCCGGCCTATTTTTATGGTGGTCTGTCCAATTGGAGATAATTGATTCTAATCACATCATATCCTCCACAAACTATGTGAGGAGATATTGATTGGATACTCAATCACTTTAGTTGACAACTTTTGTAACTTACCAAATCTATACGTACATCGATTATACCATCCTACACTAGTTCCATGCGGATTTATTTGTAGCCCAAGTAACTACCATCACAACCTCGGTCGTTAGGATGGTGACTCATATATGCGCTAATCTACCCTAGGCAACAACAACAAATACCAAGCCTTTATCCCCAAAGTTTAGGGTGAGCTATATGAATCCAATTTTCCATTCCATTCTGTTATGGGTCATCTCCTCCGTTAAGTTAGTTTTAATCGTATCCTTCTTAATTGCTTCTAATCAAGTCATTCTAGGTCTACCCCTAGATCTTCTAGCCCCATTAGCTCTACTATTACCACTTTTCCTAACTGGTGCACTAATGGGTCTCCGTTGTACATGACCAAACCATCTTAATCTATTCTTTCTCATTTTATCCTTAATAGGCGCAACCTCTAGTTTACTACGGATGCGCTAATCTACCCTAGTTAATCAGTATAAATACCCCTAACCTAGATTTACTTATTGTTATTACTACTTATTTTTAGTAGTTTGACTTAGGCATCGAGAGGTGTTGGTGAACATTCAACCATCGTTAATCCGACACTTTTCTTTGTACCATTGCCATCATCAACAAGCGCTCGCCAACAAACATGAAAGGAAAACACGAGGCACTCATTATTGAGTTTGATCCTACGAACTCAACCCTGTAAGTTGATTCTATGCATCAACAAACATTAACAACAATTTTTCATATGAGTGGGTAAAAATTATGCAACGTAATGTTTGAGTGAAAATTGCAGTTCACACTTGGTGGTGAGGGGGTGGGGAGGGGCAAGGATTTGATAATCCCTAAATTTAAGAGGGGTCTCTAACATTTTAAAAGTTCAAGAGGTGATGTGATAATTGTCCAAAGTTAAGGTTGTTTTTCGATATTTATTTATTAAGCTTATAATGTAAGAAGAAGAACAATTTTTTTGTCACCGCACAAAATGGTCGGGGTTGGGAACCAGTAACGACTATCTAGAAAATTGGGATTTGAAAGGACAAATTTTGAAAACAGACCCCTTTGCAAAAATATTCTCAAAAAAAGACCTGTTTTCACTTTATTTTCAAAAAACGACCTAGTTTTTCACTTTATTTTCAAAAAACGACCTACTTTGTTGAAACTGGGTTGTTTTTTTGTGAAAAATATTCCCAAACTTCACGGGAGTTGAACTCCCGTGAAGTTTGTGAACATTTTTCAAAAAAACTACCCAGTTTCAGCCACAGGGCTGAAACTGGGTCGTTTTTTGCAAATATTTTCAAAACGAGTCTTTTTTTGGGAATATTTTTATAAAGGAGTCTGTTTTTAAAATTTGTCCGGATTTGAAATGGTCGGGGTTCCCAAAAGCGACCATTTTGTGCGGCGACAAAATTAGTCAAGGTTCGCAACCCCGACATGCTTAGTACCCTAACCACGCATCTCTTGTTGGGAACGTCCTAATTAGGAAGCCGATTTTTTAAAATTGACCCATTTTCTAGCCATGATGTTGACGTGGCCAGAAAATAAGTCAATTTTTAGAATTAAAATTGGAGTGGGTCGATTTAAAAAAAATTGTTTTGGGGCTAATTTGAATTTTTCTTCGTAAGAAGAAAAGACAAAGGACACATTATTTTACGGGAGAATCATTCGTATTCCTCTTCCGTGCCAGAGTGAAAAAAAATTCAAAAACTCGATCTTTAGCGTCTTGCCTCCTTCCGCCCTCTCTTGTTTTCTCTCCCGCTTCGTCTCCGAATATCCTGAGCATCCCTCTTCATTCCCCGTCCCCATCTCGCCGCCTTCTCGATCCCATCCTTCCAAATAAAAATGACACCCAAACCCAAAACCCTAACCCTAACCCTAACCCTCGAACGAACAAAAGATCAAGAGAGAGATGGAGAGTCTCAGCAGCTCGAGAGACGCAAACATGGTGATTGTGGCCCTGGATGCGACGAGGGAGCGGACCAAGGACGAGCTCCGACTCACGATGAACGGGATCAGGATGCGAGGCGACATTCTCAGAGGCGGCAGCTCGGTGCACGTTTTTGGAGTACTTCACACCGTTAATAACCCTAGTCAGTATTATCTCCTTTTCTCTTCTTTGAAGATTTTACTTGTGTTTCAATTCGAATTGAAGTGAGCTGCTTATTAGTGGAATGATTTTAGCCTGAGCCTCCTAGGGCTGAGCAAACGGCTGGTTCAGTCGGTTTTTTACAAAGTTTGACCGAACCGAATGGAACCATTCTATATGTGAAACCAAATTCGGTCAGTTCAGCTCGGTCTGTAACGGTTTGGATTTTGACTAGTTTAACTAGGGAGAAAGTTCTATTGTGACCCAAAAGAACGATGCATATTAAAAAACCGTTGAAAGAAAGAATGTGGATCAAGGGATTGATAAAAGAATGATGCAAAGTAATTGAGGTAATAAATAATCTAAGGGAAAAAGCAGAAAAAATTTTATGGACTAATAAAAACAAAGAAAGAGTATGTTATAGCTAATTGAGATAGTGGTTGGTTCGGGTTGTTCAGGTTGAAGTTTTCTCAAACTGAACCAATTGAAACTTATTTTAAACCTAAACTGAACCATCAAAATTCGGTCAGTTCGGTTGGTTTATTTCTAGCTTTTTTCCTAATAATTTATTAGAAACTATTTGAGCAAATTAAGTTGTGTTTGATCAACTAAATATATATTTACAAC